CCCCTATTTACAATTATCCATATTTGGGACTTCTACCTACGTGTCATTTTGAAAGCTACTGTGTTCCTGTAGTTTCTTAAATAGCCACAGTCTACGGTTAGACTGGCTGTACCCTGTCGCAACTATCTACATTCTTCCCCTTTTTATATGGGTGCAAGCTGCTTTAAGCCTATAGCTAAATTTCACACATCCTGTCTTCCAGGTTATGGGCCCTCTTGCAAGCGTTTCAGCATGTTACCCCCCCCCCCTTTACTAACTGTCCCAACGGTGGGTGATGGGGCTCATACCTCCTCTTCAGAATGGCGTTGGTGTGGTCTCAATTCCACATATGAACCTGCGTGGAGATTAACCCCCTTTTTCTGACCCTTCAGTCTGGCTAAATTGCAGACTTTGCTGATCCTTTCCCCTGGCTGTGTTCCTGGGCTCAGAATCATGGGCGTACAATTCCATACTCAGAAATAAACTTCAAAGAACTCAAAGAAAGAAGTAGAGGATTACATCTTTGGTCTTTTGAACCGGTTCTTATTTTTACAGGCCACAATATAGGCCTTCATGTCCTCCAGCTTAAAGATCAATTAAATATTTGTTCTGATGGTTTTCAATTGTTTCTGTAGCATTGTATGACAGCTGTTTTCCCTGTAAACAACTGAGAGTAATACAACTGTGCTGAATTTAAAATATAATTAATAGATAAATATATGTTGGTTTTCCATTGAAATGTTTAATTCTGTTTTAATAGAAAATCTAAATCCCTGTTTTGTTATTCTTTTATCATGATAACAGGCAACACAACAGATACTAAATTGGGCAGAAGCCAAATTATCCCAAACGTTGGGCAAGCTCCAAAAATCTTTATCGAATCTGTACAGATTTTCAGCCAGGTAGCACACTATGGACTTTTTCTTCTTTTATGACTTCTTATTACACAGTCTTATTTGGTTCTCCTTCAGGCCTGTTAGACGACTGCTCTCTTTATTCCTAGCCGGTATGGCCAAAGGAAGGAATTAGGGGAGCTAAAATGACAATACTTCTGGTGGGGATCAGGTTGAGAAAGGCATCTATAGGCCTACCTGTATAATGATATTTCTGCATCGCAAAGAATCAGCGTTTGGATAGGCTGATAGGCTAGGCTTGGCTGGATTCTGGATTCATACAGGGGCCACTAGAATGAATGGATTCCCAGTTTTCATAGTGGCAAGATGAAGACTCCATGCAGTTGTCCCCTTTACTGAGCCTTCATCCTAATCACTTCCATGGCTCCCACAGAGAACCAGAAATTCTTTGCAGATGACTGAGCAAGCATCACTGCATGCCAGTGCCAGCTTGAACTTTTACTATCCTAGTCTTGAAATTGTTCTCCCAGGAAATGCTGGGTCTGTCGCGCCTGGTGCACGGCACCGATGAAACACGCAAGACGTGGAAATCTCTTTCAAAGCTTTATTCTGCAGAAAAAGAGAGCTCTTGTGATTTCTGCACCAAATCAAGTGCCAACCCCACTCCCCTTAAGGTGAATTCCTTTTATACAGTTTTAAAACAAAGAGGCACATCATCCTTGGTGGGCAGTAATTATTCACACCCTTGGGTGGGCACCCCACGTTGTTGCTAAGGGAAATCGGAGCTGGCCGGTACCTTATCTAACTTGGTTGATTCTGCTTCATTCTGTTCTTTGTGGGAGGTTTTACTGCCTTTCACCACCAAACTTTCTTTGCCTGCCTCAAGCTGCCTCAGGCTGATAAGACATACTGACTTCAAAGGGAAAGGAATTTGGACAAGGTTTGTAACCCATCCATCTGCTTTCTTCCCAGCAACTTTCTTCCCAAGGTCAATCCAGGGCCATTTGCAATATTCCTTTATTTTTATCATTCCATCAGAACAAGGAGCTCTTCTTAGCTAGCCCACAGATCAAGCAGCATGGTAGATATCCCCTTCATCTGCTTGGTTAGAAGTGACTTTCTCTCTTTTCAATCACCTACTAGTACCCTGCCACCAACAGGCTTTTAATTAGTTCTGCAGGCTCTTAAGTTTCATGAATGCATGTTCAAAGCTGCTTCGATCAAATAATTTATCCATGTGGGATGCCTTGCAGGAACTGCTCTGTGGCCGTGAGTTTGCCTGTAATGCCCAAAGGAGAGCCCACATTAGATCTAGTCAACATTACAAACTACATAATTGAAGAGAAACTGATGAAGCCCCTTCGAAGCCTATATAACATCAACCTGGGTGCAGAATATTACAAATTCAAGCGAGCCATCATGGAGAGCCCTTTTGAACGTAAGTTCTTGGAGAACCCTCCCTTTGATCCTTCCACTTCTTTTGCATTTCTTGGAAGATGATGATGATGATGATGGTGATGATGATGATGATGATCATGATAGATCTAGTGTTTATTTAAGTGATCACTGCTGCTTTGCTCTGTCTGCATAATTCATTTGTCCCAAAGACCTGGTGTTAGAATAAAGCTTCAACGCTCACCTAAAGACCTTTAAGTTCTTCCTCAAAACTATCAGGCTCTCCCCTCCCTCTTCAAGTTATTCAATGAGGGGCACTCTTTGGCAGCATATCTCTTGGATATCTAGGGTGGTAGCATGCAAGTTGTTACCCAATAGCAAATATCTGTAGCTCACTATTGACATCTTGCATTGTTGGAATTCTCTATGATGGTTTTTTGAGCTGCAAATATTTCCTTAACTGACTAGATAACATCACCAGTGCAGAAGATTTGGAGAAGTGAACTCCTGCACACGTGACGTTGCCTAGTAGGGCAGTGAAACCTCCGCAGCCCAAAAATGAAGCTCAGAGAACACCAGCAGTGCAACCGATTGCCCTTCAGATGTTTTGGAATTCAATTCCTCTCAACCCCAACCAGTTGGGCTAATGGCAAACGACTGGAGAAAATGGCAGCTTTCAGATGTTCATATTGTGCTTTTATCACCTGCACTACAAAAGCAGGTGCTTCTGCAGAAGTTTCTTCAAGGCACATCTTTATGTAATTCACTGAAGTCCAAGAGACAGTGTGTGGAATGGTCTCATTGTCCAGGAATTATATAATGCAGCCTTTTGTTCCATGGATGAGGAGCATTCCCCAGCCAACATTCTCAGTGGTATATACGGTAAGGTTGGGGGTTGTAACTGAGCAATATTTGAAGGGCCAGATGTTTTCCTCCCACCCACCCCATCTTATACCATTTACATGTAGCGTCTGTAAGAATTAGTTCTCACGCAGCCAGTGAAAAACAACACAATAGCAAATCTGAAGTCTAGAAAAAGAAAGGACAGGTAGAGACAGACCAGCTTGCTCAAACAAGGGTCTTTCTTTAGGTAGGATGGGAAGAGAGACACACAAAAAGGTTTGAACATTATGTCTATCTATAGGGTTTGTTCTTGAAACACAGTAGTTGCTGGAATACTTCAGTTCTGGCTTCCTAACTTCTTTCAGTAAATACTACTTATTGGAAGATCTTGGGTTTCTTGTGCTCTTGCCTAAGTGGTTCCAATGCTGCCTGTCAGGTGGAACCTGGCAATATCTGCTGGAGATCCTCTCCATATACAGAACATGGTGGTGATCTTGATTGATTGATTGGTTGGTTGGTTGGTTGATTGATTTATAACATGGTGGTCATATATCTCCCACTGAAGAGGTCTTCCTCCCCACAAGGAGCTCTACAAGACCAATAATGAACAACTGCATGATGCTATGTTTCGACTCTTCCCAGATCATGCCTTGTTGATGGGAACCAAGCACCTATGGACTTTTGATGGGAAAATGTACAGCTTGACCTCCAACTGTAGTATGCTGCTGGCCAAAGATTTTGCCCACGATGCCTTTACTGTAGTCTTAAACCAGAGCAGTGGTGCAGGCAGATCTCTATACCTTGGCATGAATGAAACAGTTTTCATCATCTATCCCAAAGAGAAGGTAAAAGTTGGAACTTGAGTTAAAGTTTTGTCTATGATCTTTTATTATTTATTTTATTATTATGTATCATTATTATTTATTTTATTTTATTATCTATTATTACCTATTACCAATCCAGACATCAATTCCCACCCACACTTCATGGATGGAGATGCTAAAGCTAAACTAATGGTGCATCCATGATTTTATTTTTTTTTTTGACAAGTCTGGCCTGGTGATATGTAAGCCAACCATTCCTCTTTCCCCGTTTTGGGTAACATAAGAACCAATCCCAAGGCAATTAACCAAGAATTTGGATTAAAAGGACATTTAGATGGGGAAAGAGACTCAAATTACATCCTCAGCTAGGATTTTGGAGTAAGCTAAATCATCCATATATTTCTACTGGCTTGCATTTTACCCATTTGTGAACAGTTTCCCAAAGCTGGATTTTTTTCCCCCTTCCTTGCTTTCAAACAGATCTACAAGCAATACAACACTTCTCTTTTGGAGAATTGTGGAAGTTTTGACATTCCTCTCCAAGAAAATGGCATCACAGTCCGGGTGGAAAGAAAGCACGTTGAAGTGACTGCTGCTAATGGAGCCCTGATTTTTTGTGACCTTCGTTACGATTTCTGTACCCTTACCTTGAATGGATGGTACCACGGTTTGTCCTAAGCATCCAGAATTTCTCTAAGATATGCGAAAAGCATTCACTTTCAGAATGAATGGGCTTCTTAAATGCCTTCTGGGAACATTTAAAACAAAATGGAGGGTAGATGTAGTCTAGTGCTTTACTTAATGGTGCCTTCCCCTGCCCATGAGAAAAGGCAACGGTAAAGTGGATGGATGGTGAAGAACATCCTGGGGAGATGGAGGTAGGACACAACCTTGCCTAGTAAACTAAGGTTTGGAGATCCACCAGGGTAGCCAGTTTGGGAAAGAACCCATGACATGTCCTCAATCTTTCCAATGCACTTCCTGGCTCAAATAGTTACTATCTCCAACAGAGGCAAATATGTGTAGCTCAGGGTTGAACTGTGGAGTCCTTGGGGTTCTCTGAGTTTGGTTCTTTTCTTGCAAATGTTTCATTACCTGGCTAGGGAACATCTTCA